CTTGAACAAAGGATGACTTGGGTGACTTGTTAAGCACAGGAGCTGGTAAGTAGCAGTGTCCATGGGTTCAAGTCTAAGCCTGTCCAATGCTGAAAGCCCTGCTCCTTTCAGTTATGTGTCTCCTTTGTTCCCTGGCCATTCGTATTAAAGTTTCCTAAAAACAGCCTGTTGTTGCTCTTCAGGATGTGAGCGAACTAGTGAAATGTAGCTCTTCTCCACCTCGCTAATATTTTTAATTATATCGAGGCACAGAAATATTTAAAGTAGTTTGCATTGGCATTGAAAACCAAACATTATGAGTTTCTTCCATTTCATTAAAAGTTGCTTATTCTTTACATTGTTCCCTACATTAAAGCCAAGCAGAATTTTATCAGGCAATTGCCTCCAAGTTATAATCTGGAAAAATCTTTCCGTAATGAAACCCATATGTCATGGGTGAAAGGTGCAAAGCCCTGGCAGAGAGGGCTGGTCTCGTGAGAGATTCGCACCCAATCTTGTTAACCAGGGTGCCTCTGGTAATCCCTCATCCCCTCACCGGTGAGAAATCAATCTGTGCCACTGACTCTCTTTCAACCAGCCACCAGAAAATTTACTGCGGAGAGGGCAGGTTGGGGATAGTCATCGTGGCAAGGGAGCCAGAGGCAAGGCTAAATGTAGGATGGAGGATTGGAGAGTCTAAAGAAGACATTATATTAAACCACACAGCACTTCCCAGCAAGGAGGATGCAGTCCTCCCTCAGCCCTGACCTCTCAGAGCATGCCCAGCTATTTACAGCTGCCTTGAACCTGACAGTCCTAGGAAAACGAGAAGGGGGTAATGGAAACAGCATAAACCTGGAAGCTGATTGTGGTGTATCCATTTGTTGCCTGTAAATGTGTACAAGTGGTCCCCTCTCCCACACTCTGCAGCAATCACATGTCCCCCTGTGGTGATAGTCTCTATTGTGGCTTTCTCAGTTTATGGTCTTGTACTCATAGGAGAGCCATAGTAAATCATGGCCACACAAAGGTCATGACTCTCTTCTCACAGCACACACTGTGGCTGGTGACCAGTGGATCCCTCTTGGCATAGTTATTAGAAGGTGGTAGCATGTTCCCTTCCTGCTAAACTTGTAATCCTAGAGAAGTGATCCAGAATTAGAAAATCGTTAAGAAATTTTATTGAGTCTAGATAAAACTCTAGCAATTTTCTTGTCTCTCGGGTTGTCTTCTAGCACATTGTAGAAAGAAAGGACCAGGAGAGAAGGGAAGCATCGAAAGTGTCAAGCTAAGAAGCATGTACTCTTACCCTGGCCAATAATTAGAGAATTACGCCAAGCTGTAACTATTGAGAAGAAGGAGGGATGGCCCTCACTAGTCAGAGGGAAATAGAAATATCTTCTTCTCCTCTGTAAGCAAACCATGGACACTTCTAAAGGTTTTCTCCCAAAGAGATGTGAAATCTTTGGTGGAAATTTTTTAGTAAACTGCATTTACATATTAAACCCTACTGGAAGGGAGGGTTTAATATGTAAATTAAACCCCATGTGTGTGTGTGTGTGTGTGTGTGTGTGTGTGTGTGTGTGTGTAGAAGAATACGGAATACTAGCAGAAGGCTGTCTCCCTACTCCTAATGGGATTTTATAGCAGCATGTGCAAGTTTGTTTCAGAAGTCTAAAATGAACAGATGTTGGTATAAATTACCTCAGTGTCTGATGTCTTACAAATTAAAAGCGCGGTTGGCATCACTAAACAATTTCGCTAGGTTTCGGGGGGTGCCATTAGCAGGCAGTGATTACTGTATCAGGTTGGTAAGAATCTTCACACCGCAGCAGAGCAGGAGAGCAAGGATAAAGAGATGAGGACTCGAATAAGGGCTCTGTGAATTAATCAGAGATGCTAACATCTCTGATGACAAGTGAACAGGAGGGCACGTGCTCTGGAGCAGCCCCTGACCCACAGCAATTTCTCTGTGCGCAAAAAGGGGCTGGTGCTTAGGGTGTGATTTATAGGGCACAGTCCTCTTTTAGGGAGCTGCTATGTCAGAAATGCGTATATCTCCTATATAGGAATGGCGAGCAGGAAAACTTTCTCCCCTCCCATGTAGAAGATGATGTCTTTTGAATTACTTCTACTTTTACTGTGGTTTCCTGCAGCTCTGTGTACTCAGATTAGGTTGAAGGGGGAGGAATGATTGAGTGGGAAAGGGGTTGTTAAAAGGGATTGGTTACATTCAAGGAGAGCTCGCCCCTGAGAGACTTTGGAATATCCATGTATTTTTCCGTGAAGCCCTTTTGATCCCTTGACTAGATTGGATCTTTTTAAATGTTAAGTCTTCAAATCTTGGTCATTCTTCCATTTGGAGAAAAAATAACAAAGAATTGGGGATCTGAAGGGCAGCAGGCAGAGTCATTAGTGATGTCAATAGGTTCTGTTTACCCAAAGAATTTTGTGTTACCCATGTCTGGTTTCCAGAGCACTTTGCTTCTGGCCAGGCTGCAGGATCGCTTGATGCCGCGCTTCAGGTCTTTAATAAGCACCTGAGAAGAGGCAGAAAAAAAGTGATGGGACCCACTCAGGCCAAAAGTATAAGTCAACATCTATAGGACCTGGCTGAGGGAAAGATCCCAAGGAGTGGAATTTTTGAGATTACTACTATCCCTTATCACAGTTAATTCATTTATTCACTCAGGAAATACTTTAGTGCAAGAGAAGCAGCAGGATGCCCTCCTCTGAAAGGTGTTATATCAGTGATACCATTATACCAACATGTTCACTGCGGAACAGCCAAGAGGACAGGGCAGGTGACATTAATGTGGACTCATTTTACAGATGAAGAAACTGAGGCTCATACCCAGCTCCTGGTGCCACCCAGCTGCTAAGTGCTAGAGCTGGAACTTAAACTAATCCTGTGTTCTCTGAGAGAAGTCATGCTACCTTCCATGGGCAAGAAATTTTTTTTAAATTTGTCTTTCGATTACAGTTTACATGAAATTTTATTCTGTATTAGTTTCAGATGTACAGCAAAGTGGTTAGAAAATTATGTACTTACAGAGTGGACTCATGCACTGCCCCCACCCCCATCCCACCCTCACCCACTCCTGTTGCTTCAGGTACTCACCTGGCCTCATTTTCTCTAGGAAGTTGTTAGTTCTTGTCTGTCCTCGCCCCACCCCACCTCCATCTCTCCATTAATCTGCATTATTCCCATCAAGGAAATTGTCTTTCTTGCTAAACAAGCAAGGTAAATTTAAAAAGAAACCCCACCGTATAGAGAATGGAGCACCGGGGCCACTAACAAGTCTTATTGTCTGTGGAAGGGAAGAAACTAACTTGGTTGTTATCCTACTTGGTTCTAGAACTTGCCCTGTTCTTCTTCAGTGTATCATCATTCACTCAGCCCACGTTTTTCAGCAGATGCCAGGTCTAGCACTGTGCTAGGTGCTGGTGAATAAAGAATAATAAAACAGTCTCTGCCCTCTATTTTCATATTTCAACAGAGGAAAACAAATATATAAACAGATAATTGCAGATCTGATAGGAACTTTGTATGCAGAGGGTTGGTATAAATCCACCAAGGAAGGAGAGGTCCATTTGCTTTGAGACGGGGAAGGGTTGCGGGCACATGAGAGCAGACCCAGCTCTGATACTTCCATTCCTGATTAATGCGATTTTCTTTCTCTTTGTTGGAGCTCAGGAACTTATGAAAGGTGGGGAATATATATAGACTGCGCTACCAAAAGCCTTCCTGTGGTTACAGAGTTCACGTTGTTTTACTTTCTCCTTGTACAGGTCCACCGGGAGCTTAGATGTAGGTGGGGTGGGGAGAGCGGGAGCCCATTCTCCCGGCACCGTTTGCTTTGGACTTGAGAAGGGCAGGAGGAGGTCAGAGTACAGTCCTTCTATCTCTGCAGGAGCCTCCCTGGCCACCTCACTTTTTGGCCAAGATGGAGACATGTTCTCGGGAGGCCATGGGGCACAGCCTGCTGTGTGCCCTCTGCTCGATTCCAGAGGACTTCCCGCCTCCGGGGCAAACCATCGGAGACTTTTAGCACTGCTCAATCCACTTAAGGGGTCTGAAAAGATGATCTTGTGGGGATGAGGATGAAGGGGGTTTAAGGCTTCATACGATGTCTGAGGATTTGCTTGACAGCTAAAACGTGGGCTTCTGCAGTGACCCTTGTAATTGAGAAATGTTTTACTTTCATTTCAGAGCTTCATATGTAGGAAAGTAGCTATATAAACCCTCGTGTAACTACAGCATTCAAAGATTGATGGCACTGAAAGTCAGAGAAAGACACATAAACCTTGCCTGACTATATTAAATATCTAAGGACTGACAATGCCAAGAGAGAGAAGACCGAAGTTCTATAAACCCTACTTTATTACTCCATCCCCAGATGAACTGCACTGAGGGGCTATAAACCGTTATATTACAGTGTCCAGGGACTGCCACAGAGGGACGGGGTAAACGGTCTCTTATTCTGATTTGATATTTTAAATGTCCAGAAACCAGCAGCCCATAGACTGTAATCTTGGTTGGATTTTAGCCTCCAAGAGCAAACCCCTGTGCTAGTGAATGTGAGTGTTAGGTTATATTCTTTAGAGAGAGAGAGGTTAGGGGGAATTCCGTGATGATTTTTGTAAGGGTTGATGGAGGATGTTTTCCCCAGCTGGCCTGTGCCCTAGAGCAGTTTCCAACTTCAGAACAGCTCTGCACGGTTTTAGTTGCCAGTAGTGGTTTGTTCCCCCTCTTTTTGAAGGTCTGTGGTGATTGACTCTGTTGTGATCCCCTGTATACAATTTAATCAGTCTGTGTTTTTAAATTAAATCTTCCTATGATCCTGTGTTTTTTTTTAATGTTTTTTTTTGTTGTTGTTGCTGTTGTTGTTGTTGTTTTCAGATTTTAGGTCTTCATTGATCTTTCATTTGCTTTTTTAATTTCAGCCAGAGAAATGACACGGGGGAAGTTCCTCAACATTCTAGAGAAACCCAAGAAGTAGCAGCAGCTTGTGGACAGGATGTCCCGGGGGCTGGAACCACGCTCCGCTCCCAGTGCAGCTCTGATGATGCCCACCTCACTGCTTCCTGGCGAGAGGCTGGAGGGTGCACCTCCAGGGCTGACCTCTCCCCTGCTCCTGGTGCCTGCGCCTCTGAGGACATTCGGTAGCAAGAGAAGCATCTGTTCTACCAAGGATCAATGCCGTTATTCAGTCAGCTTCCAGACTCTGGCCGTCCCCACGTCAGATGTTGGTAACACCAGAGGGCATAGCATTCTTAAAGGTCAAAGTCCTGCTTTCTCATTTCTGGAAGTGATTCAGGAGCCCCAGGATCTTAACAGTTGATTTGACTCAGTGATGGCAAAGTCCGTTGTGACAGCGGTTGCATGAGTTGTACTTGATCTCTTAGGAAGTATTTATGATGCAAGGAGCCCAGAGACCAATTAGATTCTGGACCAGATCATGCAGGTTGACCTGTGAGCTCTCCAGGGTATACTAGGTTCTAAGAATCCCCAGCTGGAGAAACCAGAATCTTCTAGAAATGATGCCTGCTTTTAAAATTCTACACCTCTCATGGTAGTCCCATTCCCCGCCTCCTAGCTCCCACCATCCGTTCTGACTCCGGAGAAGGGGATCCTCCTGGGATTAGTTTGTGTAGTGAAAGGCCCATGCACAGTTACATTAGACCTCAAGACCAATTTCAAGGTGACAGAAAGGACTTTTGAGTTCTAATTAAGCTGTTACAGATTCAAGCGAGATATCGATGGTTAGTATGGCCTGAAGATAGGAAAAGGGGGTTGACTGTAGGAGTTGGATTTGATTAACAACTAGACACTCTGATTGACCTTACGGGAACGTGTGTGCTATGTAGTGATGGCAGTGTTCCCCCTTTAGCCCCTCTCACAGCACTTATCAGATATTTCACCCACAGGACAGGAACACATGTGAAAGGAAAAGAGAATTTCCTGACTTAAATATAACTCTTATGGAGTGTTTGCCAATTATGTGTCTCTGTTAAAATCTGAAAATCTAGCTTATGGGTAATAGTGATTACACATGTTCTCCATATTTTGTCTTACAAGCCTCTAATGTTTTGAAGAATCTATGGAGTTTCCTGAACTTTATGAAAAGAACATCCATGTGACAGTAGTCTGATAGTGTTTGGATACAAGGAAAATCGTAGTCAAGTTTTTGGCCCTGAGTATCTGTGCGGCACTATTCACTTTAATAGCTGGTCCGTTAGCCATCCGTGTGCCTTGTTTCCCAGCTAGCATTAATGTTGGATTTTTCTCTCATTTGTGCTGTTTGACCATCCATGCAATTTTACTTACTGACAAGAAGGAAGACATTGAACACAAGATAAAAGGGATGAGTATGGGACGGAAAGCACTCTCCTGGGTAGAGGCTTTGGTTTTAAGTTAAGGTTATTATTGACATTCTTTATTTTAAACGTGGTTGAAGAGTTTGGATATGCACACAAAAAAAAAATAGTGGCATAATAGCAAACTCTTCCTTTTGAGAGCTGATGATGTCAAAAGGAGAAATTAAGAAATATATGGAGTATATTGGGATACCTCCCCCAAACCAACTTGTTGGTAACCTGAACCTATGTAATTGGGTTTCGGTCTCTTTTACTGTCATAGTAGTCACCAGCACTTACTGTAAGTAGATATTTTAGAATTGTGATATTTATTGGTTTTATATTTGTCGTCCTCAGAAATGTTAATGTTGTGTTTTTATATTGATAATGTAAATTTATGAACTATGTGCATGTATGTATTTCAGGATGTTGGAAGGTTGTACTTTGTATATAATGTCTTCTGTGTCGTCATAATAAATATGTCCCTTTTATAGGAGAGTGAGTTTTTCTTTAAAGGGCCAAATTGCATTCTTAAAGCATAGACCTCATCAGAAAGAGCAGCTATAGCCGAAACCGGTTTGGCTCAGTGGATAGAGCATCAGCCTGCAGACTGAAAGGTCCCAGGTTGGATTCCCGTCAAGGGCATGTACCTTGGTTGTGGGCACATCCCCAGTAGGGGGTGTGCAAGAGGCAGCTAATCAATGTTTCTAACTCTCTATCCCTCTCTCTTCCTCTCTGTAAAAAATCAATAAAATATATTTTTTTTAAAAAAAGAAAAGAGAAAAGAAAGAGCAGCTATAATGACAAATAATCTGCTGTCTTCCCCTCACATGACAGTGGGTGGCATAGGGCTTTATAGTCATCTACTGCATCGTCTGCTAGCTTCCAGTCTATCCTACCTGCCATCTAGCTCATTACCACTCAACTCCCTGGAGTAGACTTAAAAACCTTTAGTACCTCCCCAGGTCTACTAATAAAGTCTGGATCTCTCATCCTGGGACCCTAAACTCTCTGCGTGTAACCCTAATTACCCTTCCTGTTGGCTTCTTTCCTCTCCAGCATATGAAGTCTCTGTTCCAATGAATCAGAGCAATCCCCAGTTGCTCACTTGAGTGCTTTGCCCATGCCATTGAGTTCCTAGAAAGTCTCTCATCCTTTTCGCACAGATCAAGCCCTATCCTTCCTATAAACTCCTGATGCTCCCGCTGGAAATAACCCTGCCCCCTGCATTCCTACACCCTTTATGTAGGCCAGCCTGTGACTTACCACACTGCCGACACCGAAGTGCTCCGAGCCCATACCTCACTGCCCTCCTAAATTATAAGCTTCTCCAGGTTTTGGCTGTGTCCTGCACATCTAGTTCTTCTTCAGTGTCTTTTTGAACTGGGGATTCAAAATGTATCTATTTGCAAAGTTCCTATTAAATATGTCGGATTGAGAACAAATATTTATCTGTCACCTACTAAAATCCTTAGTAGGAGTTCCTTTTCAACTCTGTTCAAGAACTAAAGAAGAGGAAGTAATCAGTACTACTACTGTCACCCATTAATAACACTATCAGTGCTCTTTTAGAGAAAACATTCCATTTAAGAAAAGCTAATTGCTAAGCATCATCGGCTCATCCCTGATTTGCAAAAAAAAACAACAAAAAACATCTGGATGGACCATAGGTTTCTGGGATTCAGGAAAGCATGGCTGGCTGGCTGACTGACTAAAAAGGGGCAGCATGTGAATGTTCTGGTCTAAATCTTTAGAGGTTATTTTTCCATAACTATTATTTACCCACAAGAGTGTGTTCCCTTTTCTTTTGCCATTCCGAATACCATACTTGTAGCACATAGGTTGGTGCGTGAGGCACCTTTTTATTCATTTCAGAGAGGAAGGGAGAGAGAAACATCAATGATGAGAGACAAGCTGCCTCCTACATGCCCGCCCCCTACTGGGGATCGAGCCCGCAACCTGGGCATGTGCCCTTGACTGGAATTGAACCAGGACCCTTCAGTCTGCAGGCCGATGCTCTATCCACTGAGCCAAACCAGCTAGGGCGAGACACATTTTTAATTTCTTCAATCTTTTCTCCCCAGCAGTCTCATTGCTTCTTGCTCACCTCAGTCTCTTGATTTGAGACCTCTGCTTGGCTTTTCTTTCACTGTTTAGCACTGAAAACTCACAGGATATCAGTTGTATTGATATCACAATGCCATCATTAATTTTTTTTTGCCTTTTGTTACCCACTTACCATATTTTTAAAGTGGATACTAGCTAACTGCTCCTTTGTTTCGGTGCTCTGGCTGCAGCTTATTGTGGCTCCTGTGTCTTCTAAGAGCTGGCTTCCAGCTCCAGTGCCTTCTCCACTGCCCCTGTGGCCTCCAGAGGGTGTTTGACTTCGAAGGAGCTTTGTAATAAAGGCAGGGTCATTCCTCCAGGATCAGAGCATGACAGGAAGGTCAACTGGCAGAATTGGAAGTGGGGAAATTGGTAGATGGGCCAAGGCAGATGGTCCCAGGGGTCAGATAACATGGCTTCTTACCAGCTCTCAACTTCTGTACAAACTCCATCTCCAAGCCTTGGTTGCGTTCTCCTGTTTTCTTCATCCTTCGAGAGCTGCAGGACTCCCTGAGCCCGCATGGGCTCCATTTCACCCGAGGAATCCCACCTTCAGAGGGGCAAACAGTGATCTTTCCAACTTTAATTTCTGACTGGCCTGTCTAGTGACGTTGGGGCGTGGGGAGGTATCCCTGACTATGCCTAAAGAGGCCACAGACCCTAGCCAGTTTGGCTCAGTGGTAGAATGACAGCCCACTGACTGAAGTGTCTTGGGTTCGATTCCAGTCAAGCACATACCCCAGTTTCAGGCTCAATCCTCGGCCCTGGTTGGGACATGTGCAAGCTGCAACCAATCGATGTCTCTCACATCAATGTTTCTCTCTGTCTCTACCCCTCCCTCGCTCTCTCTTTCTAAAAATCAATGGACAAAATATCCTTGGATGAGGATTAACAAAAACAAAATAAAAATAAAGAGGCCACTGGCCTTCCCACCCTTTGCCCAGCGTGTTTTCTTCATGAGCAGGGATGGTGGGGCTTCAGGTGGCACCAGGGGCCACCGTGAGGCTCCTGGTTGGCGGGTGCCGGCAGAGCCTGTTAATTAGCACAGAGCACCCCCATGCTCCATCAGCCCGGCCAGGCATTCGGAACCTTCCCCTCCCGCAGGCCCCTTCCTCCTAATGAGAGCAGGAAGAGGGGCGCTCACAACACACTGCCTCCGAATAATATTCTGCTTTGTCCCCACCAGTAACCAGGGCTGACAGGATCACTCTGGCCATTTCTCCTCTAATTAGCACAATTCCAGCGTGGCCCGGGCCAGCACAGGGAGAAAAGCGATCGGACAACCGTACCGAATCACAAACACAAAGAGGGCCCTTCCCTGTAATTAGGTGAGACAATCCCTCAGTCTTTTCTCGGCTGGAGTTTGCCGCTAAGACTCTTGCCGTTTGGGTCCCAGCAGCACAAAGTTACACGTCTCCCTGGGACACTAATCAGCCCCAAATTGTCTTCCGCTTCACACAGCTCTAACCAGAGGGCAGATGCGGGAGCCAGGGGACACGGTCTCTAAACAAGCAGCTGCTGCAATGCTGTCCCAACTCTAAGAAAGCAGACCTGGGCTGTGGGCAGTTGGCTTGAGGGAACTGCTCTGGGCACAGCTGGTCCTGTCACCTTAGCTGGGGTCTGAAGCTCTGAGAACTCCTGACCCCCATGCGGGGAAGCCCACTCTGCTGTTTGGCTTGTCCTGTTTATTCACCATCTTTTGGTCTCCTCATCCCTTCTCCCACCTGTCCTTCTCCCACCTGTGGCATCATGGGCAGCTATAACTGGCACCACCCCGGAACTCCACTGAAGCCCTACAAACTAGTTGCCATCGCAAGGAGAGGGCACAGGTGAATTCTACTCTGAAAGAGCCCACAACCTGGAAGGGGCCCTCACTGCC